CAGTTTGCCCTCTCTGTTTCCTGTGCACCGATAAAGGTGTGGTTTCTCAGCTTCTTGCTGCCTGGGGCCATGCCTCTGCCCCCTGCTGTTATAGACTCTCCCTCAGAAACCATCAGCCAAAATAAACTCTTCCTTAAGTTGCTTTTGGTCTAAGTATGTTATCACAGCCACAAAAAGTTACTAATAACATTGGTTAGCCAAAGAGAATGATGATAGTTCTCTAACAGGGAAATGCAGTTGGGATTTTCCGCAGAAGCAGCCCTTGACAGTGAACACAGATGTATTCCATGTGTATATCAAATTGTCCGGAAGTTAGTCCTGTCATAGTAAGATGATCTTAATGAACAGTTTCTTGGAAGAACAGCAGCAGAGATCCTGTTGGGTCATTTTGACCCAGTACAGTTGAATGTGGCCTCCCAAACAGGCTCAAGGAGAAAATGTCCTCTCAGAATACAGAAGTGATATTTTGTAAGTAATTATTATAGATCATGTATCTCCAGTCTCTTTGTCAAAATCTTAAAACACTCAAATAGAATTTGGTGTTAGTCTGTCTTTCTATGGAGATTTGACCCTTCCTTCGAATGTATCAATAATCCTGTTCTCTTTCATTTCCCTTAGACATTAGGTACCAAATGGTGACAAACAGAACATGTGAGTATGCTGGCTGCCTTCTTTTGAAGCTGTCCATCCTCCTTGGGGCTTTGAGGCTAAAGCAAGCCAACACATATGCGGGGGTGGAGGGGTGGGGGATGGGGGGTGGTCGGCTATGACTAATTCAAAGGCTGCAAGGACATGGGGGGTATTCTTATTGTGCTACAGCAGTTGAATGAATGCATTACTTATTCACCTTTAATTAGTTTCCTGTAAGAAATATGTACCATTGTGATGTCCTGGCTCACTGTGTAAAACCCAGATGGCAGTCCGCTGGGGTCAGAGCACACAAAAGTGGCATTTAAGTAAAAATACACTTCAAAAATCCTGGAAAATGACCTGAGAAATTAGAACAGATGATAGATGTATTATCAGCTTCTAATAAAACTCGGCCTTTGAAAAATATCATCTTTAAAGTTTACCATGCATGCTGGATTTTAGAGAAATTTATGGAAGCCATCATAATAGAAACTTGCAGGGGTCTGAGGAACTTAGGCAAAGTGAGAGAGCTACAAAGATGATTCTTTCCAGGCTCCCACAGGGCTCTACCATCTAAGGGGATCTTTGTCATGCACAGGGACACCTTGCAGAGCAGGACGTTGTTCACAGTGGAATTTGTGTTATAGTCATTGCTTATGAATCTGATGTAAAGGGATAAGAATGAGGGTAGAAATTATGTGTTTAGCCTTTTGAAAGCACAATACATGGAAATGGAGCTGTTTTCATCTTTACCTTATGGCTCTCTTTGTACCACTAGTAACAGTTTGAAAAATGTGATAAGTTTATGTGAAAAGTTACTTGGAGCACAGTTTTAATTTTTCCTCTGTTGTTAATTTAAGAATGTTTGTGATGAGAGATAGAGTTGAAATCCATTCCATTAATTCCTTACCAAAAGTTTAAATTCAAAAGTTGGTGGGGTAGGAACAGCTCAGAGCAAGAGGATGAACTCTCTCTTTCTCTCTCTCTCTCTCTCTCTCTCTCTCTCTCTCTCTCTCTCTCAGAGGAGAGTGAGAGAGAGAGTACGAGAGTGAAAGAGTATGTGTGTGTGCATATGCATATGCACATGGGTGTTTATGTATGCATGTGGATGTGGAGGACAGAGATCAATCTTGGGCATTGATCCTCAGTGATAATCTTTCTCCTTTTTCTTTTTCTTCTGAGACAGGGTCTCTCACTGGCCTGGAACTCACCTGGTAGGCTGGACTGACTAGCCAGCGAACCCCAGGGTCCTCATGTCTCCATCTTCCCAGTGCTGGGATTCCAAATATGGGCCACCAAGCCCAACTTTTTACATGAGTCCTGGGGATGGAACTCAGATCCTTATTTCTGTGTGGCAAGTCTTTCACTTACTGAGCTATTGCCCCAACCTCAGGTCTTCTATTGACATATGACTCGTGTTTGATACCCAGCTGTAGTCTGACAGCCGCTGAATTTTGACAAAAACGTTTCTGTCATTCTAGGCTGTGGAATTTGTAATATTTTTGTCCAAATGAAGTAATATTTATATGTGAAGTCATTTCACTAATCTTGGATTTTAATTGGTTGTTGGTTTTATTGAATAAATTTATGTAATCATAATTCTTCTAAATTAGATACCACTCCTTAAGAATAGTAATGACGTATTTTTTTCCACGCTGGAAAATAC